ACTTGAGAAACCCTTCTCAAGATTTTCCACAAAGATTCACAAAGAATAAAAGGAACGAATTCACCTGGAATTCTTGAACAAATCTTTATCTTCCCCTTTCAAGATTATGATGATGATGATCTTCTAACAAAGCTTTTCACAAACGTTTTCACTCTTGGATTTCACAAAGAAAACTCTCCAAGATGTCACAAAGACTCACAAAAACGTTTTTCACAAATTGATTATCAGTTCTAACTCTTGTCTGAAGTTTCTCAAAGTTCAAACTATTTATAAAAGTTTCAGACACAGATAATCGATTATTTTAAAGAATAATCGATTATTTTGTTCTTCAGATTTTCTGGAAATCAACCAAGAACAATATAATCGATTATTTAGCTGGATAATCGATTATTCCAGAGAGTTGTTCCTGGGATAATCGATTATTTTGGCAAATAATCGATTATTACAGCAAGGCATTCCACTTAGCCTATTAGCTGGAATAATCGATTATATTTAACAATAATCGATTATTTTGAGTTAGTTCTTAAAACTTCATTTTAAGACTCAAAATAACTTTCCAATGTTTTTAACTCATCATCATATACTCTCTACTTAGTTTAGATAAGATTTGATTATGCACAAAGCATACTAAGCACACAAAATATAAAAACACATTCAAAATTTATTTCCTAAGCTCTATTACATATAGCTCCATTTCATAACATTTTCTTGACTCTTCTTTGCCTTTGTTTTTGTGCTCCAAGTTGTTGTTGTATACTTGTTGTGATCATCAAAACTCCTTTAAGATTCAAGCTCTCCTATGCTCAACAAGTTTAAGTAGTTTTGGTCAATTAATCAAAATAATTATAAGGAAATAATCTTCGTAAATATAAAAATAAATAACAATTATTCGTAGTATTTGTAGAAAAATTCAGGGTGTTACACGTATCTTCGCGGCTTGCTATCTCGATGAGACCCTAACAATACATCCTTCTAGTTGAGAGTGCATGATTGAGCTTACATGTACTCCTAGACTACTCCAGGTGTGTTGCTTCGACAACATACCACGTGATATGTGATTAGTGTCACATGCATGCATTTATGAGTTAAGTCCATGACACCATTGCATGATAAGTGATTGTACATGTGTTATTGGTTTTTGTATGGCTTGTATGTGTGCCTTGTTTGTGATTGCTTTGTGTGTGTATCATCTGACAGTTGTTTTTGCACCTAAATCCGAGTGAGATGTTTCTTACTCTCTTGTTTGCTCTTGTATGTGTTTCCATTTATGCTTGCAGGTGACTTTCAATTTGACGCTGAATTCCAATATGATGCTTAGGTGGGAAGTTCTGATTAAGATATGTGACACCATGGTATAAATTAGGAAATTTTATTTTGTGATTTGGATTTCTTATAATATTAGTTTATGATTTTGGATATAGTTACTTATTTACTTAAATTACCTTGATATTTAATTTACTTTATTATGAAAGCGTTTAAGATGTGAATGTGAGTGTTTTACCTTTACGTGCTTGGAGACTTTATTTTAAATTATGAAAATTTTGTTATATTTATTATATAATTATGTGTAGGGTAAAGAGTGTTTTTGATCCTCCGCATGCTTCGAGAGATTTGTTTATTCTTTCTCTGATGCAAAACATGTTTGTATTCCTTTTTGTAGTTCAAATAATAAAGAAGGTTTTTATTCCTTTTAATTTGTTAAGGAATAACATAGATAAAGATAATTCTACTATTAGATATCATAAATGACATATATTAAATATTTTTATCATACGAAAGTTATACAAGTTGTTATATAATTTTAGAGGTGATATATGAATGAATCGGATATTTTTTATAATGAACTGAATAAAAATAATTCATTAACCTATTTACATCTACTAAAAATTTACATAAAAATTTAATCCACTAAACCCATTTAAAGTAAAAAAAAAAAAAAAAAGTCATCTAATCCATCCATTAATAATTTTTTTATGGATGGATATTCAATCCATCATAAAAGTAATATTTTAAAAATTAGATAATTTTTATTTTTTTAAATTCTAATTTTTCTCTTCTTTCTTTACACACAAGTCATTACTTTTTTATATAGTCTTTTAAAATTTATAATATTTTTTATGTTAAAATAATTTTTTAAAATTTTAATCTAACAAATATCTCATATTATAATTCAATAAATTTTTGAAAAAATCCTGAATGAGTCGTTAATTATATATAAAATTAAATAGATGAGTTGAATTAAATTTGATCTATTACTTATTTTTATTATAAGGAATATATTTGATAAATTTACTTAAAATGAATAACAAATTAATTAATTCATGTGCCAGTAGAGTTGTTGAAACAGGCCAGCCCAGCCCATGTGAACCGGCCCACCTTGACCTACTTTAAAAACGAGTCAATCCAACTTGGCCCACTTTTGATTTTCTCAAAAAAAAAAAATGACTCGGCCCGGCTCACCATAGGTTGGTGGATTATATGGGTCAGTCCACAATCTCACTAAAAATTAAAAAAAATTATCAAAAAAATTTCAATTTTAAAATTAATTATAAATTAACATAATATTCATAAAATTAGCATCATTAATAGTCATAAGTCATAACTCATCATACAAAATTAAATACAAATCATGATAAAAGTCCAAAATAAAAATTTTCAATATCCTATCATACAAAATTAACTACAAATCATACTTAAATTTTTATTGCAAAAAACAATTAGTAGGTTGGTGAGCTACCCGGCCCATCACGAGTTTAGTCCGAGTGGGTCGGGTTGAGATATACCCACCTACTATAAAACTTCAATTTTTTTTAACTCGACCTGGCCCATTTTCAAGGTAGGCCGGGTTGGCCTACGGCCCAGCCCACTTTGATGGCACCACTCATACAATTTTTACATAAGGTTGATATCAATCCTAATAAATTTAAAAGGTTATCGAAACTGTCTTGACAGTACCCATGTTACGCTTTCTTGGTGCTTACTAAAAATCTCCGTCATATTCATTGTCAAATCTAAACCATTGACAATTTGTATTCCACACGATCCAACTTCTACACAAAATATCTTATGTAGCCACGTGTAACAGCAATAATGGTACTAAACAATGTAACAAAATGGTCAAACTTACATAAAACAATATAATAATAATAATTGAGACTTTCTTGAAGACTATTAAGCAGATCTGTCACCGAAAGTTTCCTATGCTTTTAGATGACAGTTTCTTGAGCCTCGCCAAAAGCATCATATAGCCTTGGAAGCTGAGGATCTTGTTGTTGGAAAATGGCAAAGGAGTTGATTTTGTTGGATGAGTGGCTTAGCATGTTTGGGATGAGAGCTAGGATAGCACTTGCTGAAAAGGAGATAGAGTATGAGTATAGGGAAGAGGATTTGGATAACAAGAGCCAAATGCTTCTGCAAATGAACCCAATTCACAAGAAGATCCCAGTTCTCATTCATAATGGGAAACCCATTGCTGAGTCCATCATTATTGTTGAGTATATTGATGAGGTTTGGAAGGACAAGGCTCCTTTTCTACCCTCGGATCCTTATCAGAAAGCTCAAGCCAGGTTCTGGGCTGATTTTGTCAACAAGAAGGTATGCTTTTGAATTCCAATTTTGTCTTTACAGTGAGTTTATTATAATTCAACTTTATAATATCGAGACTGAACAATTGTGAATAGTCTGATAATGATCCCAATAGTAGGTGGTTTGAAAGGTTAATAATATTAGTTAGGATAGATTTTGATACCATCTTAGATAATGAGTTTCCATCTAATTCAATTTTATAAAACTGTCTTTAGTCTTAACTCAATCCTATAAAAGTGACATATATGATTAGTGTTATTTTCTATTTATAAAATCTTTATTTGTTATATAAACCATATCTTTGGTCGATATGAGATCTTCTCAAAAGATTTTTTCTGTTCTCCTTTTTATTAGATCAATAATTATATGTAAATGAATTTTCAAAAACATGATGGACAATTAAATTTTAGCATAAAACTTAGATCTTTCTTAGGCAAAACTTGAGGTCAATTTTATTTTAGATAATGATATGATATGTAACTTTTTTTTTATTAAGGTAGTGTTTGGTATGAGAAATGAAAAAAAAAAAAAGAATAATTTTTTTTATAAATTTTTATTGCTTAATTTAATTTAGAATGAAATGAATGGGAAATAAAGGGGCAAAGGAGAAAAGGAAATTCAAACAAATACTATTTTGTTCCTATAGGAATTTGAATAGGAAGCTATTTCATTCATATTCTTAAAATTCATCCATCCATGGATGTTTAGTTTTATTATTATCTATTCTCGTCTGTCATTATTGTTATTAAAGAGTAGGCTGCACAATTGACAACTACGTTAATTATGAGATATTTGAGAAAACTTGCAAATCATTTCAACATAATGTAGTTATATACATCATAAAGTTTAAAATAGGAAAAAAAAAATGTACCATTAAAAACTACTGTCAAAAAAATAAAAGATACTTGATGATTACAACTGACATTGTCTAACTAACGAAGTAAATATCCAACCATCAACAAATTAGTCATTGAAATGATGTTTAATATTCGTATTATATCATAAGATAAAGAGATGAAAGTCTAATTCAATCTTATAAAAAATATTATATATTATATATCTCTAGTCGAATTTATAATCTTGAGTTAAAAATTTCAGATTGGTGATGTTGGAGGGAGGATATGGGCTGGGAAGAGAGAAGAGATTGAAGTGGCAAAGAAAGAGTTAGTGGAGAACTTAAAGGAATTGGAAAAGGTTCTTGGAGAGAAGGCTTATTTTGGGGGTGACACATTTGGCTTTGTTGACATTGCTCTCATTCCTTTTCATAGCTGGTTTTACACTTATGAGACATTGGGTGACTTCAAAGTGGAGATAGAGTGTCCTAAGCTCATTGCTTGGGCAAAGAGGTGCAATCAGAGGGAGAGTGTTGCCAAATCTGTTGCTCATGAGAATGAGGTCTATGACTTTGTTCTTCAATACAGGAAGAAACTCCACTTGGACTGAAAAGGCACTTTGTGTAAACAAATAAATTTGTCATGAATGAACTTGAGCTTGAATCCCTTATAATAATAGCAGAATTCATGTTTATGTTTAAAAAATAAAAAGTGAACTTTATTATGGTTAATTTCTTGAATCCCATATATGAAATGTCAAGTTTTGGTTTGCTTGGGCTTTCAAATAATGCTTTCCACAACTTCTATGGCCTAATGTCTTGCAAAACATATACAGTTGAATACCAATTTTTTTCATATACCAAATAACTCTTAAAACATTATGTATGTTATGTAATCAATTTATGTCTGGTTACTTAGGTAGGAAAACACGTAATAAATAAAATTAACAATGATCAAGAACATATCCAATATTAAAACTTATTTTGGATTTTTAATGTACTTTTTATGAGCCTCTCAATGCTAAGTAGGATTTAAAAAAAATTATATTTTGTTTTTCTCAAATAGAAGAACCTAACTTGGGTCTTAATCTAGCAGGTTTCACAATAAACACATTTTCTTCAATTTTTTGCTAGAAGAATGTAGTTCTTATGCATTCTTATATAAGAACTAGTTACACACACTAGTAAAAAAAAATGCACATCGTGTGTCTATTGAAAAATTTTAAATAAAAATATAATAAATAAGTAGTTATTATATTATTTATTTTCTTTTTTTCCTGCATTAAAAAAACAAAAAAAAATATTTTTCGAACCATTATTTTTCAGTTTTAATGTAATGAAAAAAATATATATAAATAAAGGACAAAAAGGTCTACTTAAAAATGAAAACAAAAAACAGCTATTAAAAGAGGTATCTCCTTTATATATAGTATAGATTTTTTCTATATTAAAAAAACAAAAAAAAAATCATTTTTTGAACTATTACTTTTCAGATTTAAAGTAAAATAATATATATATATAT